AGATTAGCATCCAAGCCCCTTGACTTAGCACACATCAAACCAATGATTGGGCCCTAATTTGACATGTGAAATTCTCCTACTAATTTTTTATTTTAGGTGTAAACATAGTAATTCTTAGCTGGATTCCGAAACACTTTTTAAAAAAAATATATATTTCAAACTAAAATTTGCTGATAAACCAACATAAAATTGAAGAACAATCTACATACAGTAGGACTCGAACTTGGAACATATCTTCAAAGGAGAAGTAACAACTACAAGGCCACTTTGTTCATGTAATTAAACCACGAGATTCACATATAGATAGAACGAGTCTAATTAGCATGTTGAGATTCAATTGACTTTCCTACAATTCAACCTGATTTGGCCGCTGGTGCCAGTGAGAGGCCTAATGTTTGCCATTTTAATCATCGCAGACCCAAAATCTACAGCAAAAGCCTCAGGATTGTTGCTATAACCCTCAACTTGGGAGTCCGTTGAGCCACCGCTGTAGATCTGTTGGTCAGAGTGCAATATCCCCTTTTCCATCATCATGTCCTTGTAGATGTCATTATCGAAAACTGTTGGGGTTTCTGTGTCTAAAGGAGCAAGATTGTCATCTCCTCCGGTGGCCGGACAGATTGCCCTCAATGATGCCGCATAGGAGGGATCGATGTTGTTTTCAGTGTAGATACGGCTCCGGAAAATGGTACACCTAGTTTGTCCAACCGTATGTGCACCTGAGATGGTTATTAATTAAAACGAGTTTAGATGAGTCTGGTTCTTCAGTCTGAATGGGCTGACCAATCTAGGCTACGAAGAGAACTAATTATCCCAAATAAATCTAGTGCACTCGTTAGATCATTAAAGGTATTTTAGTTTTTTCATAGTTAAAATTTGACAATTTTTAACTTGTGTTAGATGGAAAAAGAGTTTTTTAGAATTAAATTACATACTATTTTCAATTTTAATATCGAACTTTTAGATGTGGATTGTGATCTCATATATAATTATAGTTTCACGCTTAGGAATAGTGCTATGTAGTACTCCGTATCTCATTAAATTAAAAGCATCCCATAGAGAGTAACCAAATCGCCTGCACTTAATCCTTTGTTGGCGAAGGCAGTGATGAGGCCGCTCAGATTCAAAAATGGGGAGGGGATGTCTTTGGTACCGCTGAAATTAGCTATGGTTGAATCTCTTCTGCCCAGTAAAACTGTCCAGTAAGGTCCACCCAACTAAAACAACAAAAAAGGAGCAAAGGTTAATTACTTTATATATGGATAAAGATTTTTTTTTTGGTACTTTCCATTTCTGAACCCCTCATAGGATTCGAAACTTGAGAACTCAACAGAAAGGTTTAAGCTCTTAATTATAAAAATTTAAACGTCCTCCAAGGGACATTTTAGGGATGATGACAGCAAGTAGATGCATATTTATTTTACTACTTACAGCGACAACAGAATCACGAGCAGCAATGGTGATAATATCAGCACAGGAAACAACACCAGGACACAAACTCTCTACTTCGGCTTTAATCCTATCAATTACATCAAATCCTCTCAGAGAATTGTTGTTTGGAGGTGCTGTTTTTTCTCCTTTCATTGTTGGTGTATCGTCCAATAGTACCGATCCGTCACACCCCTGGTTTATATGCACAGGCAACTAATTTCAATTTCTTAGTTATAAAGAAATTAAAGAACTCCTATCATTGTTTCCAAGTAGAAATGCTTTTTTAAACAATACTGTGTCCTTATTTGCACCTTCCCCACTTTTATACAAACATTAGGTTAAAAATATGTACATATATATATATGTAAACATTATGTGAAGGAAATCAATATATATTACAGTAGCTTGAGCAAAGCATGATTTCTCTAAGTTTATTTAAAAATGCATGAATTTAAAATGAAAAAAAAAATCCAATTTAGGGCAAATTAAATGAGCATCATACGATGACTACACTCCTAATGCAGATAAAATAATAATCATTGAACATAAATAATTTGAGTTGTAAAGGCATCACAAGCATGATGTGGTTCATGTCACAAGGGAGAAAGAGATACTTGCATTAACAAAGCAGTCATGAAATTGAAGACGAAGCAAAGATGCTCCCATTCTGGATTCATTTGCCACGGCGGCTCTAACCACATTTTCAATGGCAGGAAGTGCTCCACGGCACGTTTTCTCGTAGAAATCCGGGCATAATTGTGCAGTGGCAATGCTAAAAAGAAACAAAAATAACCCTAATAAGGATGCCAGGTGATTGTGTTTAATTTTGGAGAATTTTTTTGGAGCCATGGCTAACGACTTGAAGAAAGAAGAGAGGAGAAAAATCGTTTGAGGGAGAAGGAATTAAGCTAGATACATGATGATTCTAATGCTGGATATGATAAGTTCCAATGTTTCGATCCTATATTTATATATGAAGATTTAGACCTTTTCTCATGGCCGAAGTCAAAACACACAAATTGAAGAAAAAACAAAGGGGAAGTATTAGATTATATATTGGTAATAGTTGTGATTGGTAGTTAATTAATTAGAATGGAGGTAGAAACTGGGACAATTACTAAATGCTTAATTAGTCTTTTTTTATGGTTTTTTAAGTTAATTGGTACGGTTCGTTAAACTCTTATTATCAAATAGGAAGATCTGATCATTAAACTTTTTTAATTGGTCATTTTGTGATCTGATTGTCTCTAATTTGCTTACCAAACATGCCTATATTCATGAAATAGAGAGTTAGTTTATGTTAAAAAAATGAATAATAATTAAAACATCCTTTAATTTAATATACTTTATAATATATTTATTAAAAAATTATTATTTTCAAATTAGAATTCAAAACTCAAAAAATTACACTTATGAAATTTAATGATTGAATTAGTAAGTATTAATAAATGTGTTGAAAAAAAAAAATATGCCAGTTATTACCTTAAAAAAGTATACCAGTTATTACCTTAAAAAAAGTAGTGTTACTTGTTAGGGTGGTAATAGTAGTCACCAATTGACCAAGACAATTTGTCAATTTGACTCGGCTAATAGGAAGATTTGTTCATCAACGAACCACGCCTATATTTATGATCTATAGTCCGCGAGCGATTACAATACTTAGGGGTGTAGTTAGCGGCGGAGCCAGGATTTCAAGATAAGGACAGCTAAATTTGTTTGACAGCTAAATTAAACTTATGTGAAAGTATTATTTCTTTGGGTTTTTTTTAGTTGAATTAATTTGATTTTTTTGCATGAAATTTGATTTGATGATTCTATATAGCAAATATATGATAATTAAAAAAAAATTTCTTACTGAAAACAGTGTTAATTGAATATTTTTACTTAAATTAAAAAATAATTTCAGTTATTAACCATTTGTTATATTAAATCATCAAGTTAATTAACATGAATTTAATGGAGTAAGAGAACTAAAAAGTACTAGAGTAAGTAAAATTGTAAAGTTGTAAACTTGCATCTAAAATTAAATTTGGCCATATTTAGTATAAAATATACTGTACCTCATTAAATTTTTTTAATAAATAGTGAATAATTATCTAGTTATATTTTGTGGGAAGAAAAAAAAAACAGAATATAACATATCTAGAATGTATCTAATAAATTTAGAAACATATCAAAAATTGGTTTAGCAAATGACAAAAAAAAAAAAAATTGTTTCAATAAAAACTTATGAGTTAGGGATAAAGTTTTCAAGGTTTGACCTAGAAAAAAATAAATATTAGTAACTAAAAATGAAAATTTTAGACTAATTTTAGACTACAAAGTTGATATTTTTTAATCGAAAAACGATAAATTTTCTTACAGAAAGTAATGGTAATTCATTCAAAAATTTGATTCACAAAAAAAAAAAAAAAAAAAAAAAAAAGTCATTAACCCTCAGACAAGCTCCCAATAAAATTGCAGAAAGGAGGATATGAATAGAGTAGGAGGGAGGACAGGACGTAGAAATTAAATGTTAAAAGTTTAAATATTTTATTATCAATTTCTTTTTGGAAAAATATTAGAGATTAAAAAAAATTTATATTTAATAATTTGACCTTAAAGAATCACTAAATTGCTATGTAACATTATATTTTGAATATAATGACATGGTTTACAAAAAGATTATTGATAATTATTTTTATTAAAATTAAAAATATTAAAAATAATTAAATGAACAAAATAAAATTTAAAGACGAAATTTGTAGAACACAAAATCTGAGGATTAATTTTAAAAGCTTTCAAGAGATAGGGGGCCATGGTCCTCCCTAGTCCATTAATAGCTCCCCCACTGGATGCAATGTAATTTTTTTGATGCATCTCGAATATTAGTTACTTAACATTGCAAAAGCTTTGAACCCTTGAATTTAATTGATCTTAAATCAAAACTTTTTAAGTTCGTTAGTAAGTGCGAATTTAATCAAATTTTTTTAGTAGTTATGCAACATAATTATAGACATCAACATATGACTCAAAAGTTTTAAGCACTATTTAGAGATATGTTTCGTGAGGGTTAGATAATGCTTAATCCGATGTAGATGCTTAATTAGGGTATTGGCGAGATCATGTGCTATGTCTTTTTCTTTTAATTAACTAAGAATTTTATTATTTTGGAATATAAAGAGTATTTCAACCTTTACACACCATTATAAACATAATGCTACTATAAAGAAGTATGTCATGCATAACAACTGCAAGGCAGTGTTCAACCAACACACAGGGGCGGCATGGAACAAAAAAGGATGGCAGGTAGTCTAGTATGCAATAGTTTGGTCGATTTGGCTTGCACGAAATGCTGCAACTTTTAATGAAAATCTGATGACAGTGGCTAGTGTGTTTGAGTTGATACAAAATCGCTCATATCTGTGGATCAGCAATTATATAGAAGGATGGCCTTGTACATATTCTGAATGGCGCCTGAATCCAGGAATTTGTCTGATTGTTAAAAGCCGCAGGAGACTATTGACAGGTGGTTCTTGATTGTTAATAAGCTGATGCTTATAACACTTATTTATATATGGGTTCGAGGACTTCTTATACTCAATAAAATAATTTTTTGGCCTTTAAAAAGAAAGAAAGAGACTTAGGGTGC